AGGCATGGAAGATATTAGAGAAACCCTCTCGGGAGATATAAAAGCCCTTTCTGGAGAAATAAAAGAACTAAAATCAAACCAAGTTGAAATCAAAAAAGCTATTAATGAGGTGCAATCAAAAATGGAGGCTCTGACTGCTAGGATAAATGAGGCAGAAGAAAGAATTAGCGATATAGAAGACCAAATGACAGAGAATAAAGAAGCTGAGCAAAAGAGGGACAAACAGCTACTGGACCATGAGGGGAGAATTCGAGAGATAAGTGACACCATAAGACGAAACAACATTAGAATAATTGGGATTCCAGAAGAAGAGGAAACAGAGAGGGGAGCAGAAGGTATATTGGAGAGAATTATTGGAGAGAATTTCCCCCATATGGCAAAGGGAACAAGCATCAAAATCCAGGAGGTTCAGAGAACCCCCCTCAAAATCAATAAGAATAGGTCCACACCCCATCACCTAATAGTAAAATTTACAAGTCTTAGTGACAAAGAGAAGATCCTGAAAGCAGCCCGGGAAAAGAAGTCTGTAACATACAATGGTAAAAATATTAGATTGGCAGCAGACTTATCCACAGAGACCTGGAAGGCCAGAAAGAGCTGGCATGATATATTCAGAGTACTAAAACATGCAGCCAAGAATACTATATCCAGCTAGGCTATCATTGAAAATAGAAGGAGAGATTAAAAGCTTCCAGGACAAACAAAAACTGAAAGAATTTGCAAATACCAAACCGGCTCTACAGGAAATATTGAAAGGGGTCCTCTAAGCAAAGAGAGACCCTAAAAGTAGTAGATCAGAAAGAAACAGAGACAATATACAATAACAGTCACCTTACAGGCAATACAATGGCACTAAATTCATATCTCTCAATACTTACCCTGAATGTTAATGGGCTAAATGCCCCAATCAAAAGACACAGGGTATCAGAATGGATAAAAAAACAAAACCCATCTATATGTTGCCTACAAGAAACTCATCTTAAACCTGAAGACACCTCCAGGTTTAAAGTGAGGGGGTGGAAAAGAATTTACCATGCTAATGGACATCAGAAAAAAGCAGGAGTGGCAATCCTTATATCAGATCAATTAGATTTTAAGCCAAAGACTATAATAAGAGATGAGGAAGGACACTATATCATACTCAAAGGAACTGTCCAACAAGAAGATCTAACAATTTTAAATATCTATGCCCCTAACATGGGAGCAGCCAACTATATAAACCAATTAATAACAAAATCAAAGAAACACATTGACAATAATACAATAATCGTAGGGGACTTTAACACTCCCCTCACTGAAATGGACAGATCATCCAAGCAAAAGATCAACAAGGAAATCAAGGCCTTAAATGACACACTGGACCAGATGGACATCACAGATATATTCAGAACATTTCATCCCAAAGCAACAGAATACACATTCTTCTCTAGTGCACATGGAACATTCTCCAGAATAGATCATATTCTCGGTCCTAAATCAGGTCTCAACCGTTATCAAAAGATTGGAATCATTCCCTGCATATTTTCAGACCACAATGCTCTGAAGCTAGAACTCAATCACAAGAGGAAATTTGGAAAGAACCCAATTACATGGAGACTAAACAGCATCCTTCTAAAGAATGAATGGGTCAACCAGGAAATTAAAGAAGAGTTGAAAAAATTCATGGAAACAAATGATAATGAAAACACAACGGTTCAAAATCTGTGGGACACAACAAAGGCAGTCCTGAGAGGAAAATATATAGCGGTACAAGCCTTTCTCAAGAAACAAGAAAGGTCTCAGGTACACAACCTAACCCTACACCTAAAGGAGCTGGAGAAAGAACAAGAAAGAAACCCTAAACCCAGCAGGAGAAGAGAAATCATAAAGATCAGAGCAGAAATCAATGAAATAGAAACCAAAAAAACAATAGAACAAATCAACGAAACTAGGAGCTGGTTCTTTGAAAGAATTAATAAGATCGATAAACCCCTGGCCAGACTTATCAAAAAGAAAAGAGAAAGGACCCAAATAAATAAAATCATGAATGAAAGAGGAGAGATCACAACGAACACCAAAGAAATACAGACAATTATAAGAACATACTATGAGCAACTCTACGCCAACAAATTTGACAATCTGGAAGAAATGGATGCATTCCTAGAGACATATAAACTACCACAACTGAACCAGGAAGAAATAGAAAGCCTGAACAGACCCATAACCAGTAAGGAGATTGAAACAGTCATCAAAAATCTCCAAACAAACAAAAGCCCAGGGCCAGATGGCTTCCCGGGGGAATTCTACCAAACATTTAAAGAAGAACTAATTCCTATTCTCCTGAAACTGTTCCAAAAAATAGAAATGGAAGGAAAACTTCCAAACTCATTTTATGAGGCCAGCATCACCTTGATCCCAAAACCAGACAAGGATCCCATCAAAAAAGAGAACTACAGGCCAATATCCTTGATGAACACAGATGCAAAAATTCTCGCCAAAATACTAGCCAATAGGATTCAACAGTACATTAAAAGGATTATTCACCACGACCAAGTGGGATTTATTCCAGGGCTGCAAGGTTGGTTCAACATCCGCAAATCAATCAATGTGATACAACACATTAATAAAAGAAAGAACAAGAACCATATGATACTCTCCATAGATGCTGAAAAAGCATTTGACAAAGTACAGCATCCCTTCCTGATCAAAACTCTTCAAAGTGTAGGGATAGAGGGCACATACCTCAATATTATCAAAGCCATCCATGAAAAACCACCGCAAATATCATTCTCAATGGAGAAAAACTGAAAGCTTTTCCGCTAAGGTCGGGAACACGGCAGGGATGTCCGTTATCACCACTGCTATTCAACATAGTACTAGAAGTCCTAGCCTCAGCAATCAGACAACAAAAGGAAATTAAAGGCATCCACATCGGCAAAGAAGAAGTCAAACTATCACTCTTCGCAGATGATATGATACTATATGTGGAAAACCCAAAAGACTCCACTCCAAAACTGCTAGAACTTGTACAGGAATTCAGTAAAGTGTCAGGATATAAAATCAATGCACAGAAATCAGTTGCATTTCTCTACACCAACAACAAGACAGAAGAAAGAGAAATTAAGGAGTCAATCCCATTTACAATTGCACCCAAAACTATAAGATACCTAGGAATAAATCTAACCAAAGAGACTAAGAATCTATACACAGAAAACTATAAAGTACTCATGAAAGAAATTGAGGAAGACACAAAGAAATGGAAAAATGTTCCATGCTCCTGGATTGGAAGAATAAATATTGTGAAAATGTCTACGCTACCTAAAGCAATCTACACATTTAATGCAATTCCTATCAAAGTACCATCCATTTTTTTCAAAGAAATGGAACAAATAACCCTAAAATTTATATGGAACCAGAAAAGACCTCGAATAGCCAAAGCAATATTGAAAAAGAAAGCCAAAGTTGGTGGCATCACAATTCCGGACTTCAAGCTCTATTACAAAGCTGTCATCATCAAGACACAAAAACAGACACATAGATCAATGGAACAGAATAGAGAGCCCAGAAATAGACCCTCAACTCTATGGTCAACTAATCTTCGACAGAGCAGGAAAGAATAGCCAATGGAAAATAGACAGCCTCTTCAACAAATGGAGTTGGGAAAATTGGACAGCCACATGCAGAAAAATGAAATTGGATCATTTCCTTACACCACACACGAAAATAGACTCAAAATGGATGAAGGATCTCAACGTGAGAAAGGAATCCATCAAAATCCTTGAGGAGAACACAGGCAGCAACCTCTTCGACCTCAGCCACAGCAACATCTTCCTAGGAACATCGCCAAAGGCAAGGGAAGCAAGGGCAAAAATGAACTATTGGGATTTTATCAAGATCAAAAGCTTTTGCACAGCAAAGGAAACAGTTAACAAAACCAAAAGACAACTGACAGAATGGGAGAAGATATTTGCAAATGACATATCGGATAAAGGGCTAGTGTCCAAAATCTATAAAGAACTTAGCAAACTCAACACCCAAAGAACAAATAATCCAATCAAGAAATGGGCAGAGGACATGAACAGACATTTCTGCAAAGAAGACATCCAGATGGCCAACAGACACATGAAAAAGTGCTCCATATCACTCGGCATCAGGGAAATACAAATCAAAACCACAATGAGATACCACCTCACACCAGTCAGAATGGCTAAAATTAACAAGTCAGGAAATGACAGATGCTGGCGAGGATGCGGAGAAAGGGGAACCCTCCTACACTGTTGGTGGGAATGCAAGCTGGTGCAACCACTCTGGAAAACAGCATGGAGGTTCCTCAAAATGTTGAAAATAGAACTACCCTATGACCCAGCAATTGCACTGCTGGGTATTTACCCTAAAGATACAAACGTAGTGATCCGAAGGGGCACATGCACCCGAATGTTTATAGCAGCAATGTCTACAATAGCCAAACTATGGAAAGAACCTAGATGTCCATCAACAGACGAATGGATAAAGAAGATGTGGTATATATACACAATGGAATACTATGCAGCCATCAAAAGAAATGAAATCTTGCCATTTGCGACGACGTGGATGGAACTAGAGGGTATCATGCTTAGCGAAATAAGTCAATCGGAGAAAGACAACTATCATATGATCTCCCTGATATGAGGGAGAGGAGATGCAACATGGGGGGTTAAGGGGGTAGGAGAAGAGTAAATGAAACAAGATGGGATTGGGAGGGAGACAAACCATAAGTGACTCTTAATCTCACAAAACAAACTGAGGGTTAATGGGGGGAGGGGGGTTGGGGGGGTGGGATTATGGACATTGGGGAGGGTATGTGCTATGGTGAGTGCTGTGAAGTGTGTAAACCTGGCGATTCACAGACCTGTACCCCTGGGGATAAAAATATATGTTTATAAAAAAATTTAAAAAAAAAATCACATAAAATGAACTGGGATGTATATGCTATAAAAGCATTTAATACCTAGAATGATATATACATTTTTAAATCAACTTACCCGTAATGATTCCATGTAAGATTTATGACAATCTATGTGCAACGTGTGGCCACAGGTTTGTACATAAACACCTCCTTCCCAACCAATTGATACTGCCAAGAGACAAGAACTCTTTAAAAAAAAAAAAAAAAAAAATTAATTTCAAAGAAAAATATACCTATTTAAATATATCCACGTAAACCTCTGAATGATTTCATAGTTATATTAATGCGAACTTTCTATTTTTGTGATATAAAGTTAGTACCCCTTTGACAGTCATAAGGCAGTATCTTTAAACTTGAAATACCACAAAGTTTCAGCTTCCACTATCTAGGCTCGTAAAGAATAAGAATAATTATAAATTATACTTTCTCCACCCCATGAAAAATAAACTCTCAATATTATACTATATACTTCAGTGTAAACTATTCTGCTGTTGATTATTTTACCTATTCTATATATCTCTCTGTGATACCTGACATTAACAACTTCCTTCTTTTCTTTCAATTTCATGATAGTTACCAAACAGTGTTATATTAGCTTCAGGTGTACAACATAGTAATTCAACAGTACCATACATGACCTGGTGCTCATCACAAGTGCACACCTTAATTCCCATCACCTGTTTCACCCCACCCCACACACCTCCCCACTAGTAAATATCAATTCATTCTCTATAGAGTTCATTTCTTATTTTGTCTCTCTCTCTTTCCTTTGCTCATTTGTTTTGTTTCTTAAATTTCACATGAGTGAAATCATATGGTATTTGTCTTTCTCGGACTGACTTATTTTGCTTAGCATTATACTCTCTAGCTTCACCCATGTTGTAAATGGCAACATTTCACTCTTTTTTATGGCTGAAAGGGATAGTATCCAAAATACATAAAGAATTTATACAATTCAGGTGCCTGGGTGGCTCAGTTGTTAAGCATCTGCCTTCAGCTCAGGTCATGATCCCAGCAATCTGGGATTAAACCCCTCAGGGGGGTTCCCAGATGGCTCAGTCATTAAGCGTCTGCCTTGGGCTCAGGTCGTGATCCCGGGGTCCTGGGATCAAGCCCTGCACAAGGCTCCCTGCTCAGCGGGGAGCCTGCTTCTCCCTCTCCCACTCCCCTTGCTTGTGTTCCCTCTCTCACTGTGTCTCTGTCAAATAAATAAAATCTTTTAAAAAAATTTATACAACACCCAAAAAAACAAGTAATCCATTTAAAAAATGGGCAGAAGACATGAACAGACACTTCTCCAGAGAAAACATCCAAATGACCAACAGACACATGAAAAGATGCTCAACATCACTCATCATCAGGTAAATGCAAATCAAAACTATAGTGAGCTATCACTTCACACCTGTCACAATGGCTAAAGTCAAAAACACAAGAAACAACAGGTGTTGGCAAAAATGTGGGAAAAAAAGGAACTCTCATGCACTGTTGGTAGGGATGTAAATTGGTACAACTGCTATGGAAAACAGTAAAGAGGTTCCTCAAAAAGTTAAAATTAAAACTACCCCATGATCCAATAATCACACTACTGGGTATACACACCCGAAATACAAAAATCTTAATTCAAAGGGATACATGTGCCCCTATATTTATAAAAGTATGGGAGCAGCCCAATTGTCCATTGATAGAGGAATGGATAAAGATGTGGTATATATAAATATATATACATACACAATGGAATAACAACTTCTTTTTTAAAACACCTACTTCCCCCTGGCTTCCATAATGCTACTCTCTTTTGATGTTCCTCTGATCTCTTTAAACCATTTGGTTTAGGCTTCCTTTTAAGACTTTTTTCTTCATCTGCCCCTTCAATGTTTATATTTCTTAAGGTTATATGTTTTCTGTGCTACTCTCTTACTAAAATTGTTCTCCCTGAGTGACTTTAATCAGTAAATTCAACTATCTTACCAACTTGGATCGTTTGCCTCTGTGACAGATATTTGAGTATTTCTGCAATCTCTAGTTTGATGTCCCTCAGATAACATTTAAAAATGTGTCATGGGGCGCCTGGGTGGCTCAGCTATTAAGCGTCCGACTCAATTTTGGCTCAGGTCATGATCGTAGGGTCCTGGGATCAAGCCCCATGTCAGGCTCTGCACTTAGCTTGGAGTCTTCTTAAGATTCTCTCCCTCTGCCCTCCCCGCTGCTCGCATGTGTGCCTGCCCACACTCCCTCTCTAAAATAAATAAATAAAATCTTTTTTTCCATGAATCTTTCTTTTCCTCTTGGTTTAAAAAACTCCACAATCTATGTAGTCACCAAATCAGAAAGCTAAAAGTCATTCTACATCACATTCTTTTCCTTCATACCACAGTATTAGCTCCCAAACCACACAGATTCTATCTCCTAAATAACTTGTGATTTTGGCCCCTCCTCTTTGTTCCCACTATAACATTCATGTCTGTATCATTTGTTGTGGGGGAATGGGTTCTTCAATAAAGTTTCTTTTTCTTTTTTTTTAATTTATTTGAGAGAGAGAGAGAGACAGAGACCGCGTTCGATCATGCACGTGGGGTGGGGGAGGTAGGGAGGGAATGAAGGAGAGGGAGAGAGAAAAAAATCCCAAGCAGACTCCCCACTCAGCAGAGAGCCCACATGGGGCTTGATCTCACATCTCTGGGATTATGACCTGAGCCAAAGTCAAGAGCTGGTCACCTAACCAACCAAGCCACCCAGGCACCTCTTCAATAAAGTTTCTTAACTCGTCTCCCTGACTCCAATATCTTCTCTGCATAATGTATCACCCTCCATACATTTTTCTAGACTACAAATTTGGCCATAAGATAACCCCAAAAGGTACCTTAACATTTACAAAGGTTTAATATAATATGCAATAAAGAAGGGACCCAGATTATATAAGCAACAATACCTTTTTGAAATCTGTTCTAAAAGTTAATTGCTTTTATCGCCTCTCCCTCTCTTACATCTTCAACTTACTCTTCTCTCCTTCCCTACCAATTTTTTCCCTTCAACCAATAAACAGGCTTAGACTTTTCCTCCTAAAATAATTTTCTTTGAATTTTCATTTGGCCTCTGTTAAACAGTACTTGGGCCTGAACCTGAGTTTACCCTCCAGAGTCTGTAGTAAACAGATGACTATGTGAGAGCAATAAAGGTCTATCATGAGTGACAGCACTTCATGAAAGATTTGAAAAGCCATTAAAACTGAGTACACCTTTAAACTTTATTTTTACATTGAGATGAAACATTTACATTATAATGTAAGATAACCAAATAATCTTTAAACAATAACAAACAAAATTCCAATGTTAAATCAAGATTGTTCACGAGTAACTAAAAGTTGAAAATATGACACAGTGCAAAATGCTTTCCCAGCCAATTTAAAGATGCATAACAGCACAAATCAAATACCCACAGCAGGTGAGCTAACTTCTACTGTTACAAATCAGAAAAGCAACAGAGACCTCTCATCTCTGTTTTATGTTTTGGAGCCACCTGAAGTAGCAGATTTAGATCATTTTAGAATGGTTGGTACTCAGGTAATAAACAAGCTGCTCTCTTTGGCAATATATTATAAAAACATAATCTCTCCTTTTAATAAAAGCAGTTAGCTTTCAAAACTAAAATCAGGGGGCGCCTGGGTGGTGCACTCAGCTGAGCATCTGACTCTTGGTTTCGGCTCAGGCTGTGATCTCAGGGTCTTTTTTTTTTTTTTTTTTTTAAGATTTTATTTATATATTTATTTGAGAGGGAGAGAGCGTGCACATGAGCACAAGCAGCAGGAGGGGCAGAGGGAAAGAGAAAGGGAGAAGAAGACTCTCCGCTGACCAGGAAGCCAGATGTGGGACTTGTTCCCAGGACTCCTGGATTATGACCCGAGCTGAAGGCAGGCACTTAACCCACTGAGCCACCCAGGCGCCCCATGACCTCAGGATCTTGAGATCTGGCCCCACAGCGAGCTCCATGCTCAGCACAAATCTGCTTGAGACTTCCTCTTCCTCTCCCTCTGCCCCTCCTCCAAATCCTGCTCTCTCTCAAATAAACTTAAAAAAAAAAAGTAAAATCAGTCCATCATTTGTCTATGTGATGGTTAGATTTCTTATATGAATCAGATAGAAAAAAAGGGCAGGAAACATTTACTAACACAAGACTAATATTTTAGAAAGATTTCAATGATGTGCCCACTATTGTGCTAAAAATTGCTTAATGCTGAATCTTAACCTCAATATTTATTAAAACCTTACAAAAAAGGAATGAAAAATTTACCAAGATCACACAGTTACAAATGCCAGAGCCCCACTTCAAACCCAAGTCTATCGACTCCAAAGCTCAGGTTCCCTCCCTACTGGGTCCCATCTCTTATATATAATACTCTAGAGTTTCAGCAGCAGTACTACTTGCATGACTAAAATTCTATAGGTCATCTCTGTAAATTGCATGCAACTCACGTGAAGACAGCAGAGTCTACACAGTTCAATTCTGTAATCAAAATCAGTGCCCATTAACAGTAACTCTTCTGCTGTACAGAGTCTGTCTGCCTATGAAACCATACTAGAGTAGTTCAGTAAGAAATCTAGTAAGCATCTACAACCCACATAGCATGTGCTATGCCCTGAGGGAACCATAAAACCGATGTAAGAACAGCCCTACACTTATAGAGGTATACAGTCCAGGGAACACACTAGATATTTTGTGTATACTATTTATGTATATAAATAACCACGATGAAAATAGGAAAGTATTGTGTGAAAATATATATATTTAAGAATAAAATCCCACATCACTGACAATCACACAATAGAGATTCTGTCCAATTCAGATATCAGTTCAGAGTTCTTACAAAAGAGATTTTTTTTCTAGAAATGAATAACTATTCTGGATACTTTAAGAAAGATACACCATACTCTTTATCTCCTTTATTAGATCTCCCCTTCCCTCAAACTTATTTTGATCTTAAGTCTAGGTTATATTCTCATTTGATCAAGTTATTTTGCTTTTCTGTTGGCTCTAGGATTCATCTCTACTCATCTACTCTAAAGTGATTCAAAATGACAAAATTAAAACCAGGATTATGGCAACAGAATAAAATCCAAATAAAGGTGGTAGTAAATTTCTGCAAAAGCAGAACTTAGTACAATTTAATCATTTTCTTCAAAATGAAGATATTTATTGGTCTATGACTAATATATATATGCTGCAAAAAATTAAAAGAAATAGAGAATAAAGAAAAAAGTGTGAAATGTGTGCATACGTATGCCAGTGCATGCGCGCACATGCGCGCGCGCACACACACACACACACACACACACACACACACACACACACAGAGGCTTCTTTTACCAAGTAATAATTTCTTTTTAAAGCCTCTGAAAACATATGGAAGCATGGTCCTCATTACCTAATCCAAACTGCCTTATAAGGCCTATCTAACCTGAGCACTCTGAGAAGGCTAGCTTAAATATTAAAAACCCTACTATACATTTATACTGACCTTTATAACGTGCAAAGTGATCTAAAGAAATTTTTAACCTTGTAGGTAACTGCATGAAAAATTACATGAGCCCTATTTTATAGCCAAGGAAATTGAATCCTAGACTGTTTATCCGGCAAGCTTACATTGCTAAGACCAGGCTCCAGTTTTCCTCACCTGGAACTCTTTCTGCTCTACATAATGCCTCCCTCACTAGAGCCGCCATCTCCTCAAGAACCCACCAGAAGCCTTCTCCTCAGTCCAGGCTACTGAACCACATCCTATTCTGATGCTCGTCATTACTAGGTCAGTTATGTTCACTTTACATTTTTAAAGCATTATAATGAGATCTTAATTGTATATCTTTAAATGCAAATAAAAGGAGGCAAATATCTTCATAAAATATTCAATGTAATTCTAAAAGTTTTTATAGAGTGAATATCATTGCATTGAACTGAATGTGAATATCACAATAAACAACATTTAAAACATAGTTGTAACACTTACAACCTGAAATTTTTACTTATTAACAGATTTCCATTTCTTTACTACCTATGTAGTAACTTTTTTTCTAATAAACTTCAACATTCCAAATAAGAATGACATTTGATAGAAGAAAAAATAAAAAGTAAAACTCTGGAGAAAGTAACCATCAATTTTGCTGACAAAAATACTATATGATAAAAAGGGTACTTACATCCTTAAAATAACGCTGTAATAATGAAAGTCTCACATCATGAACTGCTGCACATGTATCCCAAGGGTAAATCTGCTCCTCTTCAGTGATAGGCAATTTTTTTGGATCAATGTTGTCACGGCACTGCCCTAAAACTACATTAACAACAAAAATAAGAGCTCATTAAATAACAAACCTGAATCAACATGATTCACTGAAAGTTGTTATTTATCACAAGCTACACTAATTTTTCTACAATTAGGACATTTTTAAAAGACCCCCCAAAAAGTGATATGCTAGTTTTCTTCTACAGAGTAAATAAATCTTAAAATATGACAAGGGTGCATGGGTGGCTCAGTTGGGTTAAACATTCAACTCTTGGCTTCTGCTCAGGTCATGATCTCAGGGTTGTAAGACTAAGCCCTACATACGCTCCATGCTCAGTGTGCAGTTTGCTTGAGATTCTCTCCCTCTCCCTGTCCCTCTATCCCTCCCACTTGTCAAAAAAATGAATAAATAATTTTTTAAAATCGGACAATTTTTTTTTGAAATAACACTAAAAGATTAGTATGAACTTTGGGTGGATGGATGGATGGATCGTAATGGAGGATGAATGGTTTTCAAAATATGTCCACTGAAAAAGCCTAGAAGTTATGATTCTCCAGTATCAATAACCTTTATTTCTAAATATTCTGTTTCTCACTAAAAGGAAACAGATACTTGGAGAAAGAAGTGCATCCAGGGTTGGAGCCTGGAATTGTATGTAATAAAGAGCAAGGGGGTATTTAAACACAGAGGGGCCACATCATGAAGACATGCAGGAGTTCTGAAGGCCAAATTTGAGAAAATTTGAGTACTGAAAAGAGTAATAGTAAGAGATAACACACGCGTTGATTCAGGCAAGGAAAATCAAGTAAAAGGGTGAAGTGTCAGAGTCTCAATGTATCATCCTATAGACTACCTACCACCATAACCAAGCGATCAAACTTGGTTGGCATCACCAATAATGAGACAAACTGTCACTGTGAGCCTCTTAATGTGATGGAATGGAAGGGACATCATTTATATAATGCCATTGCCAAAAATGTTTAACTTAAACCTAATAAGGAAATAATCACAGGAATCCAGAAAATGAGATATTCTACAGAACTGACCTAGATGCTTCAAAATTTTAAAAAGGGCCTGAAAAAAACTATTTTAGTCAAGGACACTAACAAGAAATTAGAACTAAGGGGTACCTGGGTGACTCAGTCAGTTAAGTGTCTGCCCTTGGCTCAGGTCATGATCCTAGGGTTCTGGGATCAAGCCCCACACGGGGCTCCCTGCTCAGCAGAGAGTCTGCTTCTTCCCCTGAATCTCCCCTACCCCTGTCCCCAGCTTGCTCTCTCTCTCAAATAAATAAATAATATCTTAAAGAAAAAAGAAAAAGAAATGATAACTAAATGCAATGTATGATCATTTTCTTGGATCAAGAAAAAAAATCTGAGGCGCCTAGGTGGCTCAGTTAGTTAAATGTCTGCCTTTGGCTCAGGTCATGATCCCAGGGTCCTGGGATCAAGCCCTGCATTGGGCTCCCAGCTCAGCCGGAGAGTCAGCTTCTCCTTCTCCATCTGCCTGCCACTCCCCCTGCTTCTGCGCTTGCTCTCTCTCTCTCTCTCTCTCTCTCTCTCTGTCAAATAAATAAATAATCAATCAATCTTTATTTTAAAAACCTGTTATAAAAATACTGAGAGAATTTGAACACAAAATATTAGATATTACTATTAAATTTCTTGGGTATAATAATATAGAAGAATATCTTTGTTCTTAGGAGATACATTCTTAAATATTCAGAGATAAAACATCATGACATCTGCCACTTTCTTCTAAAAAGTGTGTGTGTGTATATGTGTGTATAGATGAGAGGAAAAGAAAAACAAACATGGCAATATGTCAACAATTATTGAGTGCAGGTTAAGAGTATTCTGTAGATTCAAAACTTTCAAAATGAGGGGCGCCTGGATGGCTCAGTGGGTTGGAGCCTCTGCCTTCGGCTCAGGTCGTGATCCCAGGGTCCTGGGATCGAGCCCCGCGTCGGGCTCTCTGCTCGGTGGGGAGCCTGCTTCCCTTCCTCTCTCTGCCTGCCTCTCTGCCTACCTGTGATCTCTGTCTGTCAAATAAATAAAATCTTTAAAAAAAAAAAAAAAAAAAAACTTTCAAAATGAAAAGTTGGGAAAGAGGCATATAGCAAGAGGAAAAAAATAATATTAATAAGATTTTATAATTGTAAAATATCTAAAGCACAAAAAAAGGGAGTGGGGATATAAACATACAGTGCCATATATTATTAAAAGACTCAGTAAGCATGGGAAGAATATTCTTCAGGAAACAGTATTAGATATATGAATGTGGGCCCTAAGTTCTGAAGAGATTTACAGCAGCAGCAGAAAGAAGAAATAGAAGGAGGGAGATGCTAGGAACTAAAATAATATTAACTATAATGTATAATCCTCTTAATACACTGCTGGATTTGGCTTGCTAGGATTTTGCTGAAGATTTCTGGATCTATATTCATAAAAGATACTAGGTCTATCATTTTCTTTTCATGTGATATTTTTATGTGTCTTTGGTATCAGGATAAGGCTGTTAATATAGAATGAGTTAGCATGTATTCCCTCTTTTTCTTTTTCTTTTTTAAGTTTGAGAAGGACTAATGATAATTCTTTAAATATTTGGTAGCATCATGAGTTAAGCTTTCTGGTCTTGGGCCTTCATTCGTTGAGAAGTTTTTGATTACTAATTCACTCTCTTTAACTGTTCAATGTCTGTTCAAATTTTCTATTTCTTCTTGAGTCAGTTTTGGTAGTTTCTGTGTTTCTAGGAACGTATCCATTTCATCTAGGATATCAAATTCATTGACAAAAAATTGTTCGTAATATTCCTTTATAGTCTTCTATTTCTTTAAGACTGTGGTAATGTTCATAATTTCCATTTCTGATTTTAGTTATTTCTGTGGTTTTTTTTTTTTTTTTAACTCTTGGCCAGTCAAGCTATAAAACTGTCAATTTTGACATTTTCAAATTTGCTTTTCAAATTTTGCTTTTGCTGACTCTTTCTACTGTTTTCCTATTCTCTACTTCATTTATCTATGCTTTAATCTTTATTATTTCTTTCCATCTGCTAGCTTTGGGTTTAGGTTGCTTTTCTTTCTCAAGTTCCTTAAAAGTGTAAAGTTAGGTTATTGATTTGGGATCTTTGTTTTTAATGTAAATATTTACAGTTACAAATTTCCTTCTGTGTACTACTTTCCCATAGGTTTTAGTATGTTGTGTTTTCATTTTCATTTATTTCAAAGTATTTTCTAATTTCACTTGTAATCTCTTGTTGGACCCAGTAGTTGTTTAAGAATGTGTTATTTTCCCCCAACTTACTTCTCCTCTCCATCTCCCAATGTCTCCATGTTATTCCTTATGTTCCACAAGTAAATGAAACCATATGATAACTGACTCTCTCTGCTTGACTTATTTCACTCAGCATAACTGGGAAATCGGAGGGGGAGATAAACCATGAGAGACGATGGACTTTGAGAAACAAACTGAGGGTTTTGGAAAGGAGGAGGTGGGGGGTGGGTGAGCCTGGTGGTGGGTATTGTGGAGGGCACATATTGCATGGAGCACTGGGTGTGGTGCATAAACAACGAATTTTGGAACACTGAAAAAAAATAAAATTTTTAAAAAGTCAAAAACAAAAAATAAAATAAAATTTTTTAAAAAGAATGTGTTATTTTAATTTCCATTTATTTGTGAATTTTCCAGTTTTCAAATTTTCCAATTTAATGACTTCTAGTTTCATTCCATTCTGATCAGAGAGGATACTTTGGATGATTTCAATCTTTTTAAATGTATTATGGTTTCTTTTGTGGCATAATACATAGTCTATCTTGGAGAATTTTCCATGTACAACAGAGAAAAATGTGTATTCTACTCTTGTTGGCTAAAGTGTTCTATATAAGTTGGTTAGATCTGTTTTATACTGTTGTTAAAGTGATTTGTTTCTTTTTTTGTTTTTTAATTTAGAGAGGGGGAGAAAGAGAGAGAGGTGAGGGAAAAGGCAAGGGAGGAGAAAGAGATTCCCAAGCAGACTCCACACTCAGCACACACCCAACATGGGTCTCCATCTCACAGCCCTGAGATCATGACCTGAGCCAAAGTCAACAGTCCGGAGGCTTAACTAACTAAGCCATCTGGGTGCCACTGAAGTGTTTTCCCTCTTTAATCTTCTGTTTAGTTGTTCTACCCATTATTTAAAATGGGGGCACTGAAGTCTCAACTATTATTATAAAACTACTTCTCCCTCTAATTCTGTCAATTTTTGCTTCATATATTTTGGGTTTCTGCTGTTTGGTATGTATTCTTTTTTTTTAATTTAGTTATTTATTTTGAGAAAGAGAAAGAGCATGAGCAACGGGCCAGAGGGAGAGGCAGAGAGAATCCCAAACAGATTCTGCACTGAGCAAGGAGCCTGACACAGGGCTCAATCTCACAACCCTAAGATCATGACCTGAGATCAAGACCTAAGCCAAAACCAAGAGTCAGATGTTTAATCAATTGCACCAACCAGGCGCCCATTTGGTATGTATCACATCTTTTATTTTTTTTTTAAAGATTTTTTTTATTTATTTATTTGTCAGAGAGAGAGAGAGGGAGAGAGAGCAAGCACAGGCAGACAGAATGGCAGGCAGAGGCAGAGGGAGAAGCAGGCTCCCTGCTGAGCAAGGAGCCCGATGTGGGACTCGATCCCAGGACACTGGGATCATGACCTGAGCCGAAGGCAGCTGCTTAACCAACTGAGCCACCCAGGCGTCCCTGTATCACATCTTTTAAAACAAAGAAAACAAACAGACAAAAAAAGACTTTATTTATTTGAGAAAGAGACAGAGAGAATAAGCAGGCATAGGGCAGAGGGAGAGGGGCAAGCAGATTCCCTGCTATGTGACAGAGCCGGACGGACATGGGGCTCGATCTTAGGACTCTGAGATCATGACCTAAGTCAAAGTCAGATACTTAACCAACTGAGTCACCCAGGTAGCTCTGGTATGTATCATGTTCATAATTATTTTATCTTCTTGATGGAGTGACTCATTTATCAATATATAATGTCCTTTTTCTTCTTGTGA